ACTCTAATCATCATAAATGATGTTAGAAAAACATGTAGGTTCAAGAAGTCTTGATAGAAATGAATAAAAACCCTATAACCAGAGCGTCCAATCTTTCGAAAGCACTCTGGTTATAGGGTTTTTATTCATTTCTATCAAGACTTCTTGAACCTACATGTTTTTCTAACATCATTTATGATGATTAGAGTATGACAGTAAAAATCAACAACAAACGAACCACCAACCCTAATTTTACGTTTTCTTAAACTATTTTAGTGACGATTAGACACTTAAATGTTGACAGTTAAAAAATCGGCAACCATAATTTTGCACTCACCTAAAATACTTTTAACAAGAAGTAGTCTATGACCTCAAGAAGTCAAAAAACTATTATTTTCCCTGTCTGTACAGTACTAATTCTCAGATAACACAGTTACTTTTATATTAACATGTAAGCACTGTTGTTCTGGTTGTCTGTACAGTACTAATTCTCAGATAACACAGTTACTTTTATATTAACATGTAAGCACTGTTGTTCTGGTTGTCTGTACAGTACTGATACTCAGATAACACAGTTACTTTTATATTAACCTGTAAGCACTGTTGTTCTGGTTGTCTGTACAGTACTGATACTCACATAACACAGTTACTTTTATATTAACATGTAAGCACTGTTGTTCTTGTTGTCTGTACAGTACTGATACTCAGATAACACAGTTACTTTTATATTAACCTGTAAGCACTGTTGTTCTGGTTGTCTGTACAGTACTGATACTCACATAACACAGTTACTTTTATATTAACCTGTAAGCACTGTTGTTCTTGTTGTCTGTACAGTACTGATACTCAAATAACACAGTTACTTTTATATTAACCTGTAAGTAGTGTTGTTCTGGTTGTCTGTACAGTACTGATACTCAGATAACACAGTTACTTTTATATTAACCTGTAAGTAGTGTTGTTCTGGTTGTCTGTACAGTACTGATTCTCAGATAACACAGTTACTTTTATATTAACCTGTAAGTAGTGTTGTTCTGGTTGTCTGTACAGTACCGATTCTCGCTCACCTGAGTAAAATTCCTGCCGACACGACGGAGAAAAACGAAATTCCTGGGGAGAATTTCTCCATCCAGTTGACATGGAAACACCCTCCTCAAGTCTGACAATGTCAAAGCTGGAGACACTCTTAAACAATACAAGTATTCAGTTAGTGGAAGGGTTTTCTACGTATTGGTTGATATATTGTACACTTATCAAATTAGAAACAAAATTTGTAGGGGAAGGAAATGATCCCAGTGATAAATAGTATTCTCTTTCCTTACAACTATCTTAACATGTACTTGAAACCCCCTTCCTGTCAATATTATATCTGAACCCCTTCCTGTCAATATTATATCTGAAACCCCTTCCTGTCAATATTATATCTGAAACCCCTTCCTGTCAATATTATATCTGAAACCCCTTCCTGTCAATATTATATCTGAAACTCCTTCCTGTCAATATTATATCTGAAACCCCTTCCTGCCAATATTATATCTGAAACCCCTTCCTGTCAATATTATATCCACCTCATATAATTTCCACACTATTACCAAGAATACCTGTAAATAACCCAACAATATAAATTTCAATCATTTGACTGCATATATTCCACCCAACCCCTTACTAAATAATTACCCAGAATGCCCTAAATAATTACCAGTAATGTCGTTTCACAGTACATATTCTCCTCCATACTTCAGTTTTTACCGTGAATACCTGTAGATGCTACTGTAAAACAACCACATGACTAGTGTTCTACTGTAACAGTTTTGTTTTGTAAACTAGTTTCTTGAATGTTATCGTAAATACTAATATTCTAAGTAACATTTATTTATTTTTTTCACACGTTTCGCGAGTAAGAAGTTAGTAGCAGGAGAACGAAGTTCGAGCATTCCTGGTTTATTTATTCCAATAGTTAATAAGTTTAGTAATATAACTATTATAATTCATTCAATAGAGTTTCCGTAAAATGTTGCGGCGTTTCAAAAGGCAAGACAACTATGTAAAAAATGTGTCGACCACACTAGATATGGTATATTGAAAAGGCAAGACAACTATGTAAAAAATGTGTCGACCACACTAGATATGGTATATTCAAAAGTCAAGACAACTATGTAAAAAATGTGTCGACCACACTAGATATGGTATATTCAAAAGTTGGTCGACACATTTTTTACATAGTTGTCTTGCACTAGATATGGTATATTGAAAAGGCAAGACAACTATGTAAAAAATGTGTCACCACACTAGATATGGTATATTGAGTGCCGATGAAACTTTCGCCCAACATTACGATTCATCGGACCGGTTGAAATACGATAGACGTAATGGTGGTTGAGAGTCAAATTATCTTGTATTACACTAGCCACAGTAACAACCAGACAGATAACCTGTATTACGCTAGCCAAAGTAACAACCAGATATCTTGTATTACACTAGCCACAGTAACAACCAGACATATCTTGTATTACACTAGCCACAGTAACAACCAGACAGATAACCTGTATTACACTAGCCACAGTAACAACCAGACAGATAACCTGTATTACACTAGACACAGTAACAACCAGACAGATAACCTGTATTACACTAGCCACAGTAACAACCAGACACATCTTGTATTACACTAGACACAGTAACAACCAGACAGATAACCTGTATTACACTAGCCACAGTAACAACCAGACACATCTTGTATTACACTACCCATAGTAACAACCAGATATCTTGTATTACACGAGCCACAGTAACAACCAGACATATCTTGTATTATACTACCCATAGTAACAACCAGACATATCTTGTATTACACTAGCCACAGTAACAATCAAACAGATAACCTGTATTACACTAGCCACAGTAACAACCAGATAGATAACCTGTATTACACTAGCCACAGTAACAACCAGACATATCTTGTATTACACTAGCCACAGTAACAACCAGACATATCTTGTATTATACTACCCACAGTAACAACCAGACATATCTTGTATTATACTACCCATAGTAGCAACCAAACAGACATCTTGAATTACATTACCCACAGTAACAAACAATCTATTGCTACTTCATCCTTAATAGCACATATGCAGTCAACAGTTCTTTAATTTTGATATAGAAGTGCAATTTACGTGTTGTACAAGAAAACTGGCCAATAATTTCCACAGTAGATCATCCTTACGTCACCGGCCCTGCATGGCCAGGTGGTTAGGGTGCTCACACCTAACATGCTCGCCCTTTCAGCCGTGGGGGCGTTATAATGTGACGGTCAATCCCACTATTCGTTGGTAAAAGAGTAGCCCAAGAGTTGGCGGGGGTGGTGATAACTAGCTGCCTTCCTCTAGTCTTACACTGCTAAATTAGAGATGGCTAGCGCAGATAGCCCTCGTGTAGCTTTGCGCGAAATCCATAACAAAGAAACCTTACGTCACCAATGTCTGAACTCAGATGAGAGACAATTACCTTTGTTTCGCAAAATGATATTACCTAGGTAAACTTGGAGATACACATCTCCGTATCTACATTTTTGCCTTTCATAAAAAGAAAATTTGTTGTTACTTGGTTGAAGTTCTGGCTTTCCATAGAGTGCTTGATACATGGCAAAATCATGTAACATTTAGCAGATGCAGGATCTATTGAAATCTCAACCTCAAGTACACGCATAATTATTAGCACATACAACACTATGTCTCATTCATGATTCTCCAAACCATCATAAAAACCGACGGCTGAATTCGCCCTGTTAGTTTAAACTAGCTGTTGTAATTACAGCTATAGATCATCGCTAGCATATTTTGTAGCATAGTTTAAAAGGTACTCCCATTTGATAGTCCTGTCTGATTACATCTGAATATGGGCATTTTACGAGATTAGTGACAAAGTAAACCACAACTGAAGCAGAGTTTCTTTTCACTACATTTTTGGTGCAACTTTCCTAGAAAACCCTGATGTCCCAAAGTGGCTCTACCATGTTGCTATGCAGCAGCACCTGATGTATAGGAGCTGCTGTAGCTGACAGTTGATTATTTTATCGCCTTGGGCAGTCATGGACTCTGAAGGCTGCTTTACAGTTGTGTCTCCAGTTGCAGTTGCCACTACCACTGGTTGTTCCCTTTGTTCCAGCATGCAGTTGCCACTACCACTGGTTGTTCCTTTGTTCCAGCATGCAGTAACCACTACCACTGGTTGTTCCCTTTGTTCCAGCATGCAGTTGTCACTACCACTGGTTGTTCCCTTTGTTCCAGCATGCAGTTGCCACTACCACTGGTTGTTCCCTTTGTTCCAGCACGCAGTAACCACTACCACTGGTTGTTCCCTTTGTTCCAGCATTCAGTTCCTTGTGGCCAATCAAAACCACGTCATCACTGAAACTGGATCCTTGAGTGAAAAAATGTCTTTCAAATCCCAAGAAAAACACACTGGACAGTCCAAGCTGCGATGGTTGCCAACTCTTGGCTTTACTTATCAGTTTCATTGTCATGGTCAGTAGCCTAGACAAATCACCTAAATCTAAATACTGATTAGTTACTATCTAGTTTATACTCTACGTTTAGCTGCTAATGTGCTGCCGTGTTTAGGGATCGTTTGTGTGATGGTGACGACCAGGATTCGACCCTGGGTCTTCTTGATAAAAAAGCTAGGGCCTCTTCCATTAGTTTGTTTGCATTGGGTATTCAGGAAGACCTAAGGGCTACCTTCGCTTCTCCATTAGAAGTTAAATCAACTACGTTATCTAATTTTACTGACTTTTATGTTATGTGGATGTAGAAGGCTTCGTTCTTTCTTCTTCGTGTGTGTGTGTGTGTGGTTTCATATCTTTTTATTTTCGTATTATTTTATTTTTGGTCCCCTTTTCTAGCATGATGGGATACTGCAAATGGACCGACATAATAGCTTTGCTTGCTTACAATGCTTTTGAGTTTTGACTTGGTCATTTTATATTGAAGTTGTCGTTTACAAATAATGCTGTGAATGTGATTTTGTTCTCCACTTCATTTTTAAATGGATCATCTTTATAAGATCTCTTGAATATTTTTGGAGAAATTTTTAATATAAGAGAATATAACAGTTATTAAATACACAAATTGCACTTACACAGAACTGTCAGCGCCAAAAAAAAATGAACGTTTTTATTTTTTAAGAATAAAAATCTAGATTCAAACGTTTGTTATTCTTTTCACACCAACTGTTGACTCTTCTAATACTATGATTATAATGTTGGCACTCACCTTCCTATCATATAGGGAAAAACATCGTCGGTCCGTTTACCAACACACTGGAGAAGATCAACGAAATTTAGAATTCAGGAGCACAATAGACATAAACGACATAATATGAGGGTCTATTGCTTGTTTGTTTGTAATTATGCACAAAGCTACATAATGGGCTACTGTCCTCTGCACACCACGGGTATCGAAACCCGGTTTCTAGCGTTGTAAGTCCTCAGACATACCGCTGTGCCACTGGCGG